AAATCACCTCTCATAGGTTCATTTATTATTCATACCTCATAAAATAAAGGGGATCTGATTAGGGCCGATCACTATATAATTCAATAGTATTGGAAGAAAATTATACCAAGAAAAAAATATTACATTTGTTTATATATAATAAATATATTGCTGTTATTATATAATTTGCGTGAGGGTGCATAGGGAGAGCTTTGCTTCCGGAAAGGGGGGTGGCATAGGTTCAAATCCGGTCATTGGCAAAATAAATTTCATTTTTGAGGTCAAATCTCAATCTAAGACCTATTTCGAACTCTCCTCAGGCCGGATTGACCTTGTGGATAGATCGAAAATTAACATTAGGTTATATAGCCTCCTTAAATTCTATAACATTAAGATGATAAGAAAGTTTATAGATATAATTGAATTAACATTAAGAAGATAGGGACGTTCATTTATAGTATGAGATGATGATAATGCAAATTGATTTATTTGTTTAAAAAAATCGAAACATGAATGACATTTCCATTGGCTATCTCACATTGCTAGTTTTCCTAAATATTATTCTAAGCAAAAATTTTCTAACACCCCCCCCCCCCCGCCAATATTCCCAAAAAATGAATGTATAAACCATATTATTTTTAGGGTTCTTAGACCCGATGAAATTTTTACTAAATTTGATACAGGTCCTGGTTCAAACATTTTATAAAAATGGGGGTCTGTCTAAGTGGGTCCAGACAGGCAAAACCTGGTTTGGTTCAGATTAGAAATAAATAGAAATGACTATTAAATCCATCACATAGAATGAAAAAAGAGTGTGAGTTTATTTTGTAAAACAAGATTTCAATAGTTATTTTTATTGCATCTAAAATTTTTGTGATAAAAAAATTTGAAAAAGGATAATAAGTAAAAACAAAAAATCAAGTTTGAGCGTAACATAATAAATCACCTAAAAAGGAAAAAAGTCAGCTCGGGCTCCCGCAATATGAACGCTAATATTTTTTGAGTCCAGTTTCGGTAAAAAAAGAGTTGTCACTGGTCCAATTTCGGTCCAGAACTCTAATGTAAAAAATAATAAAGTTAATAATTTTTTATAATGACTATATAATAGAAATTTTTGAAAAAAAAAAAATGGAACTCCAAATTTTATTTTTGAAAAGTAATCCGCCTAAAACCCTTAAAAAAGAGGTCCTAAACTCTCCAAATTATGATGAAAAGGCCACCAACCCCCCCCCCCACCCTCGTAAATTTTAGTTACGACTATGGACATTTCTTTTTAATGGTATTAATATAAAATCCAATTTTTTTAAACACCGTTTTTACAATATGGTTTGATATACCATCCAAGTATATTGTATCTGTAACATCTGGATAGCATAAATTAGCGATTAATATTGTACATATATAAAATTTACATTTAAAGTCCACTTTACATTTATAGATTTTAAACAATTGAAGCATATTTTTTAATTCAAAATAAAAACTTTATTTTTATGTAAACGGAGAGGCTTTGTAAATAAGTCGAAACTCTAAATATAAAGTATACATATTATTGTTTTTATTAATCAATTAAATATGTATATACTAATACCATATTTTCAAAATTGCGACCATTCATTCGGTTATACTTTCACATTATACAGTAAAAGCCTTTTATAAAATAATATTTCAATTGTATAATATGATATCCATTATTTTTATATTTATATCAAGTGCTTAATTATATTTTATAAAATATCGAACTGAAACTAGCCCAATGGATATTTTAATTTATCAATATGGTGTAGGTCTATTCAAAAGTAAATGCGAATCAAATAGTACAATCATTATTCGTAATCGATTCGTTTATATTTATATTCGTACGAATAATAATATTTGCTATTTATATCCGACTAGAAATATATATTTGAATAATTTTTTTTAAACTTAGTGTAAAAATAATTATACCTGTTATTTATTATTTCAGGTTTAATTATAAAAGTGAAAAAATATTATAATAATCTGATGATACCAGGCCCGTCACAGGAATTTGGTCTGGGGGGGGGGGGAATAATAAAATTTTTTAAAAATATCAAGCATAAATTTATTAGGACTAACTATTCCTAATACACAATTTTAAATTAATGTGAATTAAAAAAAAATTATATGTAAAGAATCACTTAAATGACCCAAAATTTTGAATTTTTTGTGACTTTACACAAAAAGTTTCTTAGGAATAATTGTATTTTGAATGTTATATATTTACAATGTAAAATCCTTGGGATTGAGCTAATTTTTCAATTATCTCATCCTTGCTTGTCGTCAAATGCCTATGAATATTCAAAAGATCCAAACCTTTCAATCTACTTTCAGATGTTGTACTTCTTGGTATGTTTTTCAGAGACCTGCAGGCCCGACCCCTGGGCCGGACAGTATTTTAATTTTTTTAAATATTCCCAGGCCGGGCCCGAAATTTTTTTTAAAAAACACCTGGGCTGTATTTATTAAAACAGCTATATTTTATATCGTTATTATTAGCTATAAAAAAATAAATATAATTTATTTTAAAAAAATCCGGACCGGGCCTGAAAATTTTATTTAAAAAAAGCCTGGCCGGGCTTGAAATTTTTTTAAAAAAAGCCAAGCCGGGCCTAAAAATTTATTTTAAAAAACCGGGCCGGGCCTGAAAATTTTAAAAAAAAAACCCAGGCCGGGCCGTAAAAAATCTTTAAAAAAAATCCGGGTCGTGCCCTGCAAATGATACTTCTGCAGGCCTCTGTTATTCTTCTTAAAAAAGAGAATGCTCATTAGTTTTACTAAGAGAAGAGTTTATAAAACCTTTTAATACATTGAGAATTTAATCTAAAATGTGTTTAAAATAATGCAGAGCATCCATAGCATTTTTTGGGACTATATCAACCATAGTTAATCTTATAAACATAGTTATTCAGCTAGTAAGGCATCATAAGATACTTTAACATCTTAATAATAAAAATCTAACAAATATTTTTTTTTCTATCACCATCTGAAAAAGGTTGGGAAGGCTTTTATGGAAGTAATATTTGCAGATTAGTAAGTGCTGCATGATGAATTAAAAATTCATTTATTTGGGTTATAAATGTATCTGTATCTAAGATATACTCTTCTACTGATCCTATATTAATGTTTTAACGATGAGCTTGCCTTGCTACAAGTCGGGGGAGACAAATATTAAACACGTATAGCTCTGCTTTTGACTCAACAATAAAATAAGAAATTCTTCATCAACATTAGCTCTAATTTCCTTGAGTTCTGATAAAATGCTCTCAGAATCAAGTCAATGTCATGTTTTTGAAAGGTATACTTAAAATAGTTATATAATTAAATAATACATTCTAATGAGAAATAAAATTTGGAATAAGCATTGAATCCAATAATTTTCTTGCTTCTGAGGAAATATTTCTTTCAGGCCATTGTAATATTTCAGTAATAGCAAATAATTGGCTCTTCTAACTCCTTAAAAGCTGTTACCTCTTGATGGCAGAGACTCTATCTCGTTGGACAAGGTTGCAATTTCTTTTTACCTGTTGGACCAGAAGTTTCAGAAATAATTATTATTTGACTAGAAATTTGAAAATGGTAGATAAATATTACGTCACTAAAAATTTGAAAATAATAAGTAAATATTATGCTGGAAAACTTGAAATCGAAATTAATTGATAAAATAACTTATGAATGTGATAATAAATGTAATTAAATATATATTTAATATATGAGATACGAATAAATATTAACAAATATAAATTAATATGAACAATAATATTTTTGAAAAATATATCCGCTGCATTTTTTGGTTTTTTTTTTTTTGGGGGGGGGGGGGAGGGGGTTTGTCTCTCTGCCCTCCCCTCCGCTGCATACACCAATGGATGATACATAAATATAAGAATATGCTATCAAGTTATTTACCAAATTAAAACGCATATTAATTTAGTTTATAATACCAAGCCAATTTTTAAGGCAAGGAATTCTCCTTTATAAGATATGCTATTTTTTGACATAAATTAGTCACAAGTTTAAATTAAAAAAAGCCTTTCATGACAGTGATGTATGTATACCTTGTTATTTAATCACCTGTCAGATTGATAGGCTATCCATGGAAATGATAACAATTAGTTAAATTTTATTAAAAGGCCTATTATTAATTATTCCAAATTCAGTCGAATATTCGAATTACTCATTCTATTCGTTGCGAAAAATTGTTATACTTAATTAAACAAAAAGAAAAATTGTTGTTTGTTTTCTTTATTATTCGCGAATTATTCTAAACGAATCAAATATTCGATTCATTTTTGAATAGGCCTAATATGTAATAAAAATTGATTAATGTACACTATATTTAAAAATGATTAATATACAAATTTTAGTATCTAGGAGGCACCTTATTTTATAATTAGTGCACATGAGCATTCTATTTTTTACTGGCTTAGTAATTTAAGACGTTAAAAACTGGAAAACTTTATTAATGATAAACTTGAAGTGATTTATTTCAACCGATCATATCTAAATTTAAATTATAGTGTATTTCTAACTTTCTAAAGAGTTTTAAATTAAAATTGGCAAATCAAAACTTTCAAAAGGTGGTAGATTTTATCAATATAAATTTAATGCGAAAGGGGGAGGCACAATCCCACACCCATTTTGCAGGGCTGCTGCCCGCTTTTGTTCACAGATCAGTGAGGGAGTAATGAATGGAAACCCTGAACTGAACATGTAATGTAAAGTTTAAAAAATATTTTATAGACAAAGTTATATCCTTAATAAATTTAAATCTAAAAATATGAACCGGATCGATAAATAACAAATCTAGCAAAGGCCTAAATTCTGAAGGAAAAACTGGACTTGACTGACCAATTAAAAATGGTCTTCGTTTGGTTTTTATAATCCCTTTTCGGTCAGGTCTTTTAGTTGATTTTGTTTCGATTTTTTAATTTCGGTTCGTCTTTGACCTGCACTGAACAATCTCAATTTATTTACTAAACAAATCTCAATTTATTTATTATAAAAAGTGGTTGGAGGAGAGTTATTCACACGAAGAGAACGGTGCTCTAGTTAACTGGCGTTCATATGTGGTTTGCGATATGAACGACCCAACTGCTCACGCTTCAACGAGGGATAATTGGCTAAGAACCCCAATGATTAATATTAAATCGCCCTTTAATAACATGGTTGAATCTAAAGAAAATGATGTTTTAGATAAAAAGGATAAACAAATGGCTAACAAATTTTTGGAAGGAGTGCGCCGAGTCCATATAGACCTGACTTATAGTATGAGAGATTGTTCTAATTATCTGGAAAACGAACAAAACACTTCAAACGACGGAGAAGAATGTAAGGAAACTTTCGAAGTTTACTATAGTCTGACAGACAAGATCGCTAATGTTAATAGCGACAAAACGACGACCCATAAAAAGCAAGCTCCATCTAAAGAAAAAATGGCTGCTAACATCAAATTGAATCAGATGGGAGGCGATCTCAAATGGACTTTGTTGGACAGGGTTGCGTCATACTACCCCGATGATGGGTTCGAAAATTTTGGCCCCGAAAGCAAAGTCAAAATTAGCCGTAGAACGTTGTCTTTTAACCTGGATGTTAGTAAATGGAGATCTTTTTACCTGGCGTTTCACGATTCTGGAGCCTGTCTGTCACTCTTAGCCGTTAGGGTAAAAAAAAGATTTGTATATTATTTTTTTTTAAATTTAATTTAGAGTACTGGAGTTTTACATAATTTGGGACACCTGAGACTAAAAAATTAAAAAAAAACCTATTTTTCTGGGATCAAGACAATTTATATAAATTACAGTTAAATTTGTAAAAATAAAAATCGTGTTCAATTTATTTTAAATTATAAAATTTGGGGCAAAAAAAAATCGTGCCTAGCATGCGCCCCAAAAAATTAATGTAAAACTCTAATAAATAATTCAAAGATATTGATTTGCCATTAAAAAAAGTATAGCTGCAATCAATAATATGTCATTCATTGTAAGTAACACCCTTTTTCTCATATCAAGAAAATTATAAAATCAGACCTCTTAAGAATTTCCTACTATTTGGTTTTTTAAATTATGAAATAAAAGGTATACATCCTTTACTGCCCGGGTGGTATAATAAACGGCGCATGGCTCGAACCGACACCAACAGGCCCGGAGTTGACTTCCGTCGTCCCCGCGAAAGGTGTATGTTTACCCCATTCAACTTACAGATCTGCCCTTAATTTTCAAAATTACGGAAATTCAAACGACAACTTAGTCGATATAAATAAGCGGAAAATCTTGGATATGAATATCAAAGCCGTATCTGATAATTTGTTTCAAATGCCGCTTAGCACGGGATTCCTATGTAAGAGCGATGGCAAATGGTTTCACAATGATTTGTTGGCCGACGCAAAGGCAGGAGCAGGGAGTAATGATGATGCCATGGTAAATTACAATAAAAGTTGCCTTTGTGATCCTGGATACCAACAAACCATGACGGTTTTGAAAATTCGCGACATTGAAAATTCTAATGGAATTATTCCAGAAGTGTGCGAAAGTAAAAAAATATGTAATTTGTTTAATTTAAATACATGACCTTTAAAAACATTAACTTGCTTTTAATAATAGGAAAATCAGACAAAAATATCCATGACAAAAGTACCCTCCGATTAAAAAACCAAATATCGCAATTTTTAATAGTAGTTAAGTTTATTAACAACGGGATTTGCGGAGCTTGTTAACCTACTTTTGAAATAAATGAATTTGGGGTACTTTTACCAGACAGGTAAATCTTTTTATACAGGGTATTTTTGTCGTCATTCTTTGGAAAAATGTTATATGTATTTATTTGATATTTATTTCTCAATAAAATAGTTTTTAAATTTCCTCAGTTATTTTCTCAAAATAAAATTATAATGAACATAAAGTTCGGTTTAGTCCAAAATCTCTATGTTTGTTATTATTAATACTATTAAATCTTTATTAAGAAATCTAATATTATTTCATTAATAAGACCCACAATTTAATAGGATGAAATTATATTTTATATAATTAGATCCCCTTATTTATTTTTTTCACACCATTTAACTAATATTTATTATATAATATAATCGCATAATAAGATAAGAAGCGTTGAATAACATTTTTTATAATCTTTTAGCCAAGCCACTACACTATCATAGCCCCCTATTTTTCAATCTGTTAACCAAATAAATATCTTCCTTTTTTTATAATCAATAACATTTATGCGTTGCATATTAATATTATTATAAATTCAATAATTTAGAAAATAAAAGTTCAGATACATATAAAAAACCAAAACCATCCATTTATAAACTTGTTGCTATTATTGGGCAAATATACATTAACAAAAAAAACTATTTTAAGGATGAGGGGAACATTTTTTAAAAATATTTTATATTTTTGGTACTCTATTTTTTTTAATGAGATATGGAAAATAAGAACACGAAATGGTAATATTTTCATTATAATATAAAGAACATATTATAGTAATGGTCATTTACATTTAATTTATAAATAAAAGAATAGTTGTCTAGACTTTAGGCCTTTTTCAGTTTTAGATTTTTAAGTACATTAGCTCTACCCCTTCTTCGCTTTTATTTTGTTTAGATAGATTGGAACTAGTTTTCATCTTTCAAGGTTTATACTTTTGATAATATAAGTAAAAAAATTGTTTTTTGGGGGACCAAAAAAGCCTGAACAGTTTGATGCTCGGAATCTACAAATTAGAGCAACAGGTTGATATTTATATTTGTTTTGCTATTGGATAAATTTGATTTGGAAAACTATTATTAAAATTAAATAATATATAATTATCTCAATTCAATTTTTGATTGATATTAACAATTAGAATTTCCTTCTTTAAATTCGTCTTTTTTTATTTTATTGATAAAAGTTTCTAATTATTAAATTAAAAAACCCATATCTATCTAATAGAATGGCGTATGGGGCCCTTTAAATATTAGAATATATTCAAATACCCCTCCTTGGTTGTTGGGGAGCCATTCTTTTTTATATACAATTTATTTGAAAAAAATATATATAAATTCTTTGCTTTAATTTTGTAATCCCCATTTTTATTAAATGCACTATTCATGACTTATTTTATCATTACACATAAATGATCTTTAGAAATCGGGATGGCCTGGTCCCAGAGTTGGGCAGGTCCTCCGGAAAAAGAATGCAGATTCTTTCTGAAAAAATGTATCTTAGATACAGATATTAGTATCTTTTTCAAAATATTAAATAGATACAAGATAAAAGATACTTGTATCTTTTGCCTAATTAGAGTGCCTTAAATACAAGATACTTTTAAATTTAAATTAGAATAGTTTATAAAATACACTTTTTATTCTTTATTTTTGAAGAACATAACACACGCATATAATAAGAATGAATATTAACAATAATTAATAAAATATTTAATGATGAGTTAATTATAATAATCAGGCATTTTAATATTAGTTATAGCCCATACTTAGCATAGATAGGGAAGGGAGACTAGTATTTTTAATGGGAGTTGAAATATTAATTTGCAAAAGAGTATTTAAAATAGATTCATTATTTTATAAAATAATCAAATTTTTCAAATAATTTATCATTAGTCCTTTTTGCCGTTTCGGCGTACTTAATATTGTGCCAAAACTAAATAACCTTTCAATTGGAGCTGATTTAAGTATTGCATTATTATATTTATAAAATATTTCCTAAATGGAGGGATAATAATTTAGCATTTATAATGTATTTCGAACTTCCTTTAATATAATTTAAACCTTCAGTTCAATGTTATTTGTATTATTGAACTCAGCAACATTTGTTTCACCAAAAGAATAATAACCATCATTTTATTAGATGTTAAATCTATTGGTGTTATAGCTTGAGCTTGTATACCTGGCACTATATTTAGGGCTTCTTTTATTAATATATTTTGAAAGTATTTTTTTTTATCATCTGACTCAATTCATAAGTTTTTGATATTGATGTCAAAAAAGCCTCATTATATTCATATCACAGGAAAATTCTTTCTTTTGCATCTTGTGCAGCTTTTAATAAAGGTAGACAATATTGTAAAATTGAATTTTTAAGATAACTCATGCTACTTTTAACCATACATAAATAATATACTTTAAAATGTTTAACAAAATTTGGTTTAGACCTTTATCATTTTTTGTATATAAAGGTTTTTACATTTAGCCTGTTCATTGTCTTTTTTAACTTTTATTTTTAAAAAATTTCCATATAAAATTTTAAGATTGGGATTTGATTCACGGGAACTTAATTCCATAATTTAAATTTCACTACCTTCTTCTTCACTACCATGTTACATAAAATTGGTATTGATATTCTATCGAGTAAAATTTATATATATAATATAATCTTAGCTTTTGGTGTTGTTATTTTTTTCTATCTACCTTATATAAGTTAGTGATCTGCATCGGACCTAATTTTTCAAGCGCGGTACTAGATTTTTTTATAAAAATTAATTTTTATAACTACTCAAAATAAACGATATATGTTACATGGCGTCTAGTTTCTTTAAATAAAATCAAATACTTTTATTTTACATAAAAAATTTAATAAAAAATGATAAATATAGACATATTTAAAAAAATTTCTAAGGCCCGATCCGGCCCGAATTTTCTTAAAAAATATTAAGCCCGACCCAGCCCAAACCAGATTTTTTTTAAAATAAGCACGGCCAAAGCCCCTTTAGGGCAAACCGGTTTCGGGCAGGGCCTACTTTTGCAGATCTCTAATATGAGTTGTAAATTTTTCAGCTATTTTTGATTGTCATCATATTTAAAATATGGTGAAAAAAAATTAATACAAGATTCTCGAGGAAAATAAAATATAAACTGATGTGTAAAATTTTAAACATGAATATTAAAAAGAATCTGTAACTGAATCTTTTGTCAAGGAAATGAAAATGAATAAGATACAAGATTCTTTTCAGAATAAAAGATCTTAGATACAGATACTAGTATCTTATTAAAAATGTCAAAAAGATACTGAGTACAAGATACAAACGGATCTTGTATCTTAGATACAAGTATTCGCGGTACTGCCCAACTCTGCCTGGTCCTAACCGATCGGTGAATTTCTATCGGGTTTTTTGGTCCCACCCGTAACTAATTTTTCGGTTCCGCCGTAAAATATATTATAAGAATTTTTTTGAAGGAAAACGACTTATATGAGCCTATTATCAAGTTTAAAAACACTTTCAAAACTTCGGCCCCACCCGTAAAAATATTTTGCACAACTTGTTCGGCCCTGCTCAAAAATATTTTTCGCTTTTGGGCCGAGCCGGACTATACCGACATCTAATGGCCTTCGCTTAATCTTTCTTTTGATTTAATAAATAATTTTTATTAATTATAAAATTGAATGGCGAGTAGATCCTCATTTCAAAGAAGGGGGTGGACATTCTCGACCTATTAAATATTTGATGAATTTGTAATAATTTAATTTATATTGTCTATATTGAAATATCTCTAATCAGATTGATGAAAGATTAGAAATAATGCTAATTTGTTAAACACAATATAAATATAAGAAATATGTGAGCGGTTCATTCCCGAATGTCCATTGAAAAAATGGAAACGATTCAAAATTTAACAAAATTATTAGATGGTCGATAAGACACAGTATTCAGTTTTTATAATGTAAGCAAAGCTTACTATGACTTTTATTTCTAACTTTACTCGTGAAGATCACATTTGCCGAACGATACATAAATTAGAAATCTACACGGCCCATAAAATATTTCGGGCCAGGTAATTTGTAAAATTATTTATTTTTTTAAAATTCAATCGCAACAATAACCGATCTAGCAATGTGTAAAATATTTTGGTAGCCGGGTTAAAATTTTTTTTTGAAAACTCTCGCGGGCCGCATGCTATGCTGATCTCTAATGTAAAGCTTCCTTTTATATAAAGCTATATATTAAAAAAAATTAAAATAATTTTTGATGAGAGTAAAACATCACAAAAAATTGCGGAAGGTGGTGGGAAGTTGTTACGTTACTGATCTAATATCTAAAATATATATTTCACCTTTCACATCCAAATATTAATAAATGAAGAAATGAAAAACCAGATATATTAAAATTATCAAAGATCTGGATTCTTAATTTTGGTCCTAACTGGTATTTAATTTTGTTCATCTCCATTTTCAAGCTAGTCACGGTTTAGATTAAAAAAAATTTTACTGTTGAGTTTTTAATTTTAAGCCTAGACTAGATTTGTAAAATTTTGAACATTTTACGGCCCTCCGGTTTTTATAACTTTGCTATTTAAAATAATTTAGCCTTTATTTTGTAAATTGCTTCAAAACAAATTGAAAATGCACTCATTAATGTTGAATGACCATTATAATATGACTGGCCAAATGATAAACTGATATAATTTAAAAAAAATTTTTTTACCGGCCCAGTTACGTTTGTAATTTTTTAGGTGCCCACCCTGAGTTCGTATTTTCTTTATTTTTAAGAATGCCCTAATTCTTTAAAAATACGCCATTTTACTGCCCATTCTATCC